TACGGCATGTTTGTTGTTGAACATTCTGATAGTTATGCATCAGTGCATTTATGCATCTGCACAATACCCATATTAGGAGAGATGGGACTAGGGTGCTTGGTTTTAATAAAGTCCTAAATTGATAAATTGAAGGTATTTTGATTTTGAACTCTAATTTAATGTTTTTAATTTTTTTAAAAACATTAATCTTATACAGTATTGCTTGAAAATGTATTTTATTTTTGTTTCTTTTATTTTGCTCATTTGCTTCTTAACTGATTTAAAAAACTATTAACAGCAAAGTCAAGTAAGAACTAGGAATAGCACTTAGATTTATATACTGCTTAACAGGGCTTTACAGCCTTCTCCAAGCTGTTTATAGAGTCAGCATATTGCCCCTAACAATCTGGGTCCTCATTTTACTGACCCCATAAAGTTGGAAGGTTGAGTCAACCTTGAGCTGATGAAAATCAAACTCTTGGCAGTAAACAGAATTAGCCTGCAATACTGCATTCTAACCATTGTGCCACCAGCACGCAATGAATTACTTTAGGTTACAAAATTGACTAGAATTCTTTTTTCTTACAAATAGCAATGGAAAAAGAATTTGTTATGGCCACACTTGTACTGACATTGTGTCAGTGATTCCAAGTCATGATCCTTGGGCCAGTCTTATGGATATATCAACAAAAGGGAAATATACTTTGGCTTAGGTATAAAGACTAATGTCAGTTTATTTCTTTCTTCCTCTCCAAGAGAAAGACAAGTCTGGTTTTAGCTAGTGACCAAAGAATGGACAGATGCAGAGAACTGTTCATACATATATACATCTGAGAAATTGGTCTGTTCCAGCTCCAGTTGTCTTAGATAGCAAAATTGAGTGGAATGAGACTCTGATTTATTTGACACTTAATATTTTTTCCATCCCATTGCAAGTACATAATGCAACAATCTGTCAAGAGTTGGCCAAGTCAAATATCTGTCAAGAAAATGATCAGGCCAACTATGGAAACAACAATATCTTCAAACAAGAGCTCAGTCACTTCCTAGTTCCATTCTTCTACTGTCTACCATATTATTCCATATGCAGAGTCTAATACTTATATTGGGCTTTGGGAGCAATCTATGGCAGGAAACAGATATTGGGTACAGCTAGGGACTGAACTGGCTCCCATTCAAAAATGTTGCCAACTACCTGATAACCAATGTTCCCTCTAATTTTTTTTCAGTGTGAGCGGAAAAGTATAGTGTTTGAGCAGCACGTTTTCATACCTGAGCACCTGGATTTTCTTCATAGATGTCACCCAAGACAACGAAATTAGTGTTATTTGAAACTCAATTCTACCATGTAAATATCCATTAAGTAAAGAAATCTCCCTATACAGGTAGTCCTCAATCTACGACCATAATTGAGCCCAAAGTTTCTATTGCTAAGTGAGACATTTGTTAAGTGAGTTTTGCCCCATTTTACAACCTTTCTTGCTACAGTTAAGTGAATCACTGCGGTTAAATCAGTAACCTGGTTGTTAAGTCAGTCTGACTTTCCTACTGACTTTCCTTGGCAGATGGTTGCAAAAGGTGACCCCAGGACACTGCAACCATCATAAATATGAGGCAGTTGCCAAAGATCCAAATTTTGATCCTATGACCATGGGGATGCTGCAATGATCATGTGTGAAGAACAGCTGTAATTCACTTTTTTCAGTGCTGATGTAGCTTTAGTCATTAAGTGAACTGTTGTAAGTTGAGGACTATACTTTCCCCCTTACTATCCAATAGTCTGCAGTGATATTAGCAAGTTATGAATAAATTACCAACTGATGTAGATTAGCAATTGGAGCACTTAAAGAAGCAAACAAAGAGGGGAGAGGAAGGAAGGGAGGAAGGAAAGAAGGGAGAGGGAGAGAGAGACAGAGGGAGAGGGAGAGACAAAAAAGGAAAGAGGAGAAAGAGAAAAAGAAAGGGGAGAGGAGGGTGGGAGGATAAGAAAAAGAGGCAGAAAAAAGAAAGAGAAAGAGGGAAGGAAGGAAAGAAAAAAGGAAGAAAAAAAGAAGAAAGAAAAGAGGAGAGAAGAGAAGGAATAGAGGCCAAAAAAGCAAACAAGGAAAAGTAGGGGAAAAACTTTCACTGGAAAACACTATTTTTCCATCAGTGCAAAACTTTCCTAAACAAGGTTAATTTTCTGGATTTTGACTTTCTGGTCCAGGTGGACCAAGAAGCCTTTATTTTATTTTTCTAAAATCAAATAAAATCTGCAGAGCACCAGCTCGACTCCCCCTTCCTGTGAAAAAAACCTCGAGCGCAGAGGCTGGATTCAGACAACATGTGCATATGCAGCGTGGGTTTCCACTTGTTTGAGAGTTGGTTGCTGCAGTTGCTGCTGCCGTTGCTGCTGCCGCCGCTTCTCTCCTCAGTAACTTTGATCCAGGAGGGAACAGCCTCCCTGTCAATCAGCTAGAAAACGGCTTCCTTCCCTCGGCTTCCTTCGTGCTGAGTTATCCTTTAGAAACTTACTGTTAATGCCTACTTCCCTATCTCCCACAGGCTATCGGGGCTTTTTTTCCTGCTCCCGCCCCTCCGCCGCCTTCCTACTGGCTCCCGTAGCCTCAAAGGCTCCTCAAAGCCGCAGCGCCGGGCAGCAAATCCGGCGGTGCTGTTAGTGGAGGAGGAGGCAGCAGCAGTTAGTCTGGACTGCAAAGGACCTCCTCCCCAGCTTCCAGAGCCTGTGGAAATCACTGCGCGGGAGTTGAAAAGTCCTGCGCGGTGTTTTCTTGCCATGTGCGCGGCCATGCAGCCGCGCACCTTAGAGGGAACAGTGCTGATAACCCTGAAAAATTTCTTTTGTGAGGATAGGTGCTTTTGATTCAAAGCGAGTCATTCAGAATGTGGCCAATATGGCATTTGGAGTAAATGCAATAACCAGTAAGTGCAGATATAGTCAAACTTACTTTCGGAAGCAGTGCCACCTCTTAGAGAAACTTGTTTGGTAAGAAGGTAGTAGCCTACTGGCAAATGTGTACTTTCCTAAAATCTGCCCACCAACCTTGCCCTACTTCCGTCCTATTTCTGCCACCAGTTATAGGTGCAAATACTATAACTTTTATTTATCTTTTATTATTTGAATATACTAACAGCCCTGGAGATCAAACAGTGAAATCTTCAAAATGAATAAACAACAAGAATCTTGGGAATTCCGTTTCTAGGAAAGGTGTACGAAATAAAACTGAATACAAATTTATGTAATAAGGTCCTGGAAATAGTGTTAAACATCGGGTTGGGACCAGAAACGGCAGGTAGAGCTGGTAACAGAAAATTGTAAACTAAAGTACACATTTGTATTTTATCACAACAATATTCATTCCTAAGGATATTCCTTATTAGATACTATATTTAGGATTTCATGCTGATGAAAGCTGATGAGGATGTGTTATCATTAAGAGAAATAATTTCTGCATCTTAAGGAAAGACCAGGAGTTTCCCAAGCAGTATTTGCTGTAATCAGTAATTTTAATAATGTATAAAGAGAGTATTAAACACAATCAAGAGGGATTCACCCATACAGTTGAGCAAAGTGACTGAATATACAGAAACTCAGGCTACCACAATTGTTCGCCCTCCAGATGCATTGGGACTACAATTCCCAGAATTCCTGGTCAAAAGAAGCTCAAGAGGCAGTTATAGTCCCAACACATCTGTTCTAACACCTTGTCATGAGTATCATGAATGACAGTTCCTTATGGATAATAATGCAACAAATTAAAGCCGTACATTAGGAGTAGGGAATCTGTGGCTTTCCAGATGTTGAGGAACAACAATTCCCAGGAGAATCAGCCAGCAGTCATAGTAAGTTTGGCCTTGTTTTAAGTAAACTTTTTTGGATCTGTAAGCCAGGTCTTCATCCAAATGCTAATAAACAATTTTTGGCCAAATGGCTGAAAAAAACAAACAAATGCTAGAGGATCCTTCTGAATATTCTTTCAGGAGAGAGTGTGCACAGAAGAGAATCTGTGGTGCCAGCAGATACATAGTTTTGGTTACATAGGACCCTTGCACTCTTTTGCTTTAATCCCCTCCTTCAAAACAAATTAGATTGCTTGTTGTTTGAAACTTCTAAGATTCATCCCTGCTAGGAGAAAAGGACTTGTATTGGTTATCTAGTAACTGTCACAAATATTTACCTCCAAACAGCTAATATGCTGATTTAATTCTTTTTCAGGCTTGGTATTTGAAGAGATAACACAACGCAGCAATGAGCACAAACAGAAAGTATGAGACGAGCTTTTTCTCATGATGCTCTTTCATTTTATACATTTTAAAATCTCAAATGCAAGCCTGGAGATTCCTGATTTGTAACTGAAACCTTTTCTTGCGTTCTGCATTTTCATAGCTGCCTCAGTTGCATTTGCTATTATTAATAATCATGGGTCTTAATCTGCTAGAGCAGTACTAAAACACTATAACATGGGACATAATACACATAATACTAGAAGCTTATGATAAAATGTGATATCATGACTCTCAATTGCGCATTTTTGCAGGGAAATATGGCCAGCACCCTAACTCTGTAGCTCTATACAGTTTAACCCTGCACTAACTGTAACACTATCTCTATGACCCAATATATGATTAGTTGGTAAAGAGAACAGGCAGGGATGCTGGCATGCTCAGCTTTCCAAACATTCAAAATGAAGGTACAGGGTTTAGAGGCTAATACCAATTACATTAGAACTATTTTAGAATAATTATTCTGCCCATTTTTGAAATATCTTCATTATGCACCAAGATACTATCCTGAGGGATCTGTATGCATAAAGACAATAATGGCTTTAATAAGCATCCTATGCCCAACAATTGTTGTAGAGTTAGGCACACAGGGAGGGAGGGAGGAAGATTCTGTGTACCATGGAGAAAAGCAGAAAAAAAATGAAAGGAGAAATCATAACAGATAAATAATGTAACATTTGTAGAAACAGAAAAGATAATTTAAATTAACAAAATATTACTAGATTTGGCTCACTTACCTTGGGAGTGCCTGGCGTCATGACATCCTTCAGTAAAGCATTCTTACTATCAAAATAAAAAAAGAAGAAAACATAAATAAATCTAGGGTAACCTCTTCCCAAAGGAGCATGTCAAAGTCCTACTTGCTTTATTTGTAAAACCCTCTCCATAAAATTCATATCCATCGGAGTAAACTTCTGGAAGCTAAAAGATCACAATTGTACCATATTCCTACTTCTATTTTTATGAAAGGTAGTCCTCAACTTAATGACCACTATTGAGACCAAAATTTTTATTGCTCAGTGAAACAGTTAAGTGAGTTTTGCCCTATTTATGATCTTTCTTGTCATAGTTGTTGTGACTCACTGCAGTTGGTAAATTAATAACACAGTTGTTAAGTGAATCTGACATCCCCATTGACTAAGCTTGTCAGAAGGTCGTTCACATTGCAACCATTATAAATACAAATCAGTTGCCAAGCATCTGAATTTTGATCACATGACCATGGGTATACTGCAATGGTCGTCAATGTGAAAATTGGTAATAGGTCACTCTTTTCAGTGTTGTTTTAACTTTGAACAGTCACTAATTGAACTGTTGTAAGTCAGGGACTACCCATTATTAAATTTGCATTTCATTTCCCCCCCCCCTCAAAACCCTGGGGAGCATAGCTGCTATTTCTAATCTTATATAATATAACCTTCATTAAAAAAACTGAGAAAAGAGACTTAACATAGAAGTTGAATAGGGATTGACATTGAAATTATTATGCAAGACACCAAACTACAGAAAGTTTCTACAGCATTTCAGTTCTGTATAACACAGGACATTGATCTGGGGAGCAGCTCTTGAGGTAATGTCCAAAAACATCTTGTTAGCATACAATGTAAGGCCTCATGTGGTTCATGATACAAGGAACATATTACAACTATGTTGAAGACCTGTATTCGTTGTTAATTGTTTATCAGGTTTAATCACTCAATGTAAATAGCTTAAATCCTTGGTATGAATCACTCTGGATATATAATTTAGAAGTAAAGGCTGCTCCTTTGTCAGAGACGTAAGAACTTGACTTCTGTTGGTTCCACTGTATGGAATATATTCTTTCAACCAATCTTTTGGCTTTCTTGAAAGGAATCAAGACCTACCTTTCAAACCAGACATTCTCCATTTGCATTTCAGTAGTTATATAGTTAAAAAATATCATTAGCCACTTTATGAGTGTTTGATGGTGTTAAAGGTATCATTGCAGGGTGTAAGCTGTTCCAGGTAAAGCACCCTTTTACAATTGACAGATGGTGATTTTGCCCATGCCGATGGCATCCAAATGGTGTTCCAGTTCTTTTGGAATTGCACCCAAGGCACCTATTACTATTATCATTAATCCTACTTTTAGTTTGTACAACCCAAGGCAGCTTTTACAATGTTCCTGTTTCTTATTTTCCCCATTGTTGCATCCTCTTGATGCAGCCGGCAGCCAAGCCATGCCTTGCAGGAAGCTGATTGGCTCTGGTGCGGCTGCCGGCCGGAGGGAGAATTGCGATCTTCCTATTGGCCGCCCATTGCTGTCTTCCTATTGGCCACCCGCCTGACAGCTATTCGTATAAATAGCTGTCAGGTGGCACTGTCCAGCGCGCATGTTCTGAACTTGCTGTTCGTGTTACTGCTGTTAATAAAGAGTTCAGTTATTTACCTCAGTGCCTCCTCGTACTTAAAACCCATAACATCCCTGTGAAGTCAGATTGGCTGAAAGAATCAGACTGGCCCAAATTCTGGATTTCATGGTTATTGGGAAGATCAGAATTCAAGGCCTCTTATACCACTGTGGCTCACATTTAGTGCATTTCTATAAAAACTATAGAAACTTGATATACTATGGCAGCAAACAATGTGACTACTGATGCTGGCGTACAGATACTACTAAAAAGCTATAGTATTCATTCTCCTGTTTGATCCAATCTTGTTTCCACATAACTGCCCACACGCATATTAACAAATGGTACCTTCCATGGGCTGGGTTATTCATATGAACTGCCCTTTTACCCTGTATTTGTCCATCAGTGCTCTCCATTCAGAAATAATTTGATGTTCAGCTACATTTCTAAATCTAAGTAACATTTCTCAGAAGTTCCAGGCATTCACAAAATACTTGGGCCAGTTCATATAATAACTTTCAGATAGAATAGATATACAATCTCAGTCTCAGGAATGAAAAACATAGACATCATACAGGGCTGGGTCTGAAGAAAAGATGACACAGGGTGGATGAATAGAAAATAACTAAAATTAGATAGGCTTTTCTGCAAACTATAGGAATTCCTTCTCTATTTGGTTGGCTGATTTGTTAATTTCACTCCATTTCTATTTAATGGCTGAAAGGAGGTTTACACCATGGTGATCCTCCCCGCTTTCTCCCTTCCTTCCCTGGAGCAAGATGCTTCACATTTAATAATGCCTTTCAACCTCACTCGAGACAGGTTAAATTTGAAACAATTACATATCAAAGGCGATGGGGCGGGGAGACCCCACACTGTAATTTTTTTGGTTATTAAAGTAATATCTCTCATGTAAATTCTCTCACTAACATGCCACAAACAGCATTAGGAAATAAATGATTTCCCCATGATTCGATTTACCAATACAAAGCACCTGCAACAGGTAAAAATAGGGCTCTGATATATGTTACTGAGGCTGATGTTTTGCACTGCATGACTCCCACAGCTGGAGATCCCCCTCTGTTTCTTGGGGAGGGTGGGTGATGGATGGATGGGGGTTGTGGTTAGGGGAGTAGGAGGAGATGGTGGAGAGAAAGAATTATACTTAATAATAAAATTTGTATGCAAGTCAGCCTCCCAAGCTAGGGATGACTGATCGGCAGCCAGAAAGTATTAAAAAGGCTTGCTAAACAGATGCTGACAATAGAACAAGACATATCAAATCAAATCTATTCCAGAAGCATTAATACACACATACGCACGCACACACTTTTCTTCCCAATCACAGCAATATGGGAGACATCAATAATTTTTTATGAGACTTTCAGAAGCTCAACATGCTACTGGATGTGACAAAAAAGCAATGTGGCTGTCATGTTCGCTTTGTTGGGGACACTTTAGCCCCAGATGTCGAGCTGTGGCAGCAATGAGTAGAAATTGAATTTGGCTGGCTTTAATCTGCCTTTCGTTGGCAGATGGCTAGATGCTGTAAAATGAAGCAAAGAGGGTTGTTTGGGAAGGGTTTTCTCCTAGAGGCTGTTTCCTTCTATGTAGAACTTGCCTTTACATAGAAGCTGGGAACTTTATTGTCACAATCTCAGCATTCCCTAAAATGGAAGTCCAAAGTCATCCTTATGTTACAAAGATACTCAGTTAACTACTCTTACCAATAAATAAATATGGGTATAGAGGTGTGTGCACATCTAAGTTAGGGATAAAAGTCACTACTAGTGAGAATAGCAAATTATTTTAAGCAGCATAAAATATGATATATAAAATCCAATCAAGTTTTATTTTCTTAAAAGTAGTGGCATTTTAATGTACTAAGAATATTTGATCAGGGAGCAGGTGTTTGAAATGAAATGCAAATATCATCTGTCAAAATAATTTAACTAATAGTAATCCAAGTTATTAACTTTGAGTATAATATTTTGATCTTTGGATATATCTTCAAATAAAGACAGGAATTATGAGGTCAAACCACAGATTATTCAATCTCCCATTCTCTTAACAGTAATTTATATTGCTTGCTTTACATAAAACCTAATCTACACATTTCTTCCAACCCACCCTTCTCTTCTTGAATCTAACACTGAGGTCTGAAATTAGGGTTTTAATTACATAATTTCTGTATACTTTGACAAATATATTATGGTGATTTTCTTTTTTTATTTCCTTCATGCAGAGATCATTGCAGAGTTATTAGCTGAAAAGCTATAAGCAAAGGGGGAAAACCCTTCCTACAAACAGTCCTGGAAAATTAAAAATGGTAAAGAAAATCATGACCTTTAAAGTTCAAACACCTTTCAGCACCTTTAAATTTCTTTTTTGCTCCAGGCCCTTCCAAAGAGCACAATCTTTGGAGACCTCAGAATTCTCTTTAATCACTAAGCAAGTCAGCGGTGGTCAGAAATCATCACACATTTACATAGTAATAACCTCAGACAACACTCCCAACTTTATTTCATAACCAGCATATTGCCACACAGTGAGAGATCCATGTGGTTTAAATTATAACCCATACATAGGAAATTAGTTGCTAGCTATCATCTTCACAGGTTTCTCTGACATTTCTAATTAAGATGATTTACATAGAACTATCCTTTGAAAGCAAAAAATTGTGTTTTGCTAGCTAATAAAATATAATTACTTCACACCCCTACCTACCCACCCTTTTCAAGTTATAGTTAGTTTTAATCTGTTTGGGGAATTATTTATCCAGTTCATTATGATAACACAGCTTACTTGCTCCTTTTATATGGAAGCAAATTGTAAGAAAAGAGTGATCAGTTGGAAATGAGTTTACCTTCTAAGGGATGGGGGACTAGAGAGGCAGGTATCTGTTATTGAGGCTTTGTATCTTGTCTAAGATGAATTTAGTTTTCATAATGACACATTTATAAAGGAAATACATATATGGTAAAGGTTCCCCTCGCACATATGTGCTAGTTGTTCCCAACTCTAGGGGGCAGTGGTCATCTCCATCTAAAGAGTCAGCGCTGTCCAAAGACGTCTCCGTGGTTATGTGGCCAGCATGACTAGACCCTGAAAGCACAGCACACGGTACGCTACGTTACCTTCCCACCAAAGGTGGTTCCTATTTTTCTACTTGCATTTTTATATGCTTTTGAATTGCTAGTTGGCAGAAGCTGGGATAAGTAGTGGGAGCTCACTCTGTTATGTGGCACTACGATTCAAACCACCGAACTGCCAACCTTTCTGATCAGCAAGCTCAGCGTCTTAGCCACTGAGCCACTGCGTCCCTTTTACCATGTGCATATCTATGTACAAACACATTTGGAAGTATGTCCATATACTAAGAAATTAATCATTTTATAGTTTATAATATGT